TTAGAATACATTTTATATTGAAGCATTTTTGAATAGCTGCCAGAAAGCTATTGGTATTTATTCCCCAGCATAAATCTAATGCTATTTAGCTTAACAGAGGTTTTCAAAGTTTGACTTAATTGTCCTAATTAACATTGATTTTGGAATTTTGCCTATGAATAAGCATGTTCTATTTTTACATATAAGTTACAGAGAGAGGCATTTCTTATGATTCATCTAACCATATATGACTGACTTTAATTATTAATTTGTATAAATATTGATTTGTCAACAAAAACACGAGTGTTAAATTTAGTGACCTGGTCACAAGTGAATATATGAAGCCTTGTTTAGTGGTATCAAAGATGTTAAAGTACTGACTCTCTTTTAATTTTAAATTTAGTTCATTTGCCAAATGAATCATGCATTTAACTTTATTGCAAATTAAAATGACCTCAGTTCTAAAAAATTAAAATGATAGAGGAGTTAGAAAAATGATAGAGGAGTTAGAAAAATGTTTAGTTGTTTGTTTTAGATGAATAAACTATTTATTTATTTATTTTTATGTTTATTTTTTTGAGACAGAGTCTCGCTTTGTCGCCCAGGCTGGAGTGCAGTGGTGTGATCTTGGCTCACTGCAACCTCTGCCTCCCAGGATCAAGCGATTCTCATGCCTCAGCCTCCTGGGTAGCTGAGACTACAGATGTGCGCCACCACATCCGGCTAAGTTTTGTATTTTTAGTAGAGATGAGATTTTGCCGTGTTGGCCAGGCTGGTTTAAAACTCCTTACCTCAGGTGATCCACACGCCTCGGCCTCCCAAAGTACTGAGATCATGCCTCGGCCTCCCAAAGTACTGAGATCACCGGCCTGAGCCACTGTGCCCAGCCAGAATAAACTATTTAAAATTTGCCTGCTAGATAAGATAATTTTACACCTTTTCAGTTTAAATACATTGTCTCTAATACCATGCCAATCTCTTCTATGGATTTTTTAATCACCTCTTTTCAAGTAAGTTTATCACGGACAGATTACAAGCAAGGTGATCTAAGCAGCTCAGGTTGTAATTATTCCCTAGGTAAATCAGGTTCTTAAAAAAAAAAAACAAAACAAAAAATTGAAATGTGTCAAGATTTGGAATGAGTTTTAAACTTTCATTTACTTTTAATAGCTTAACTAATTACTGTCAAAATGAATCAGTTTGGAATTGCACCCCAGCTTGATTAATCATGTGGAGTTTCCAGGTAACGTATCTGTTACATTCTGAAGCACATACTTGAAAAGTAAAATTCTTCTTTCTTCCACATATTATTTTCATCCTACTGTTTTATTGTTGCTAAAGTCATTGTAGCCTCAAAATATATCATAAAAGGACCACCCTGTTATATATACTTCTATTCATCTGAGATGGGACAAGCTCTTTGGTAACTGAAATTTGTCAGATGAGCCATACTTGTTTTTGTTTTTCTTCTTGCTTTTTTGTACCATTTCTCCCTCTTTTAAATTCCGCTTATGTTTTGGGATTCATTCAAGGACACTGCTTTTAAGATAACTTGTCCTTAGGCAGTTATGAATTTCCATAGTTACAGTTGCTGCCACTTCATTAAAACTAGGAAAAAAAAAAAAACAACACAGCTTTCAACATTTTCTTGGCTGGAGGACTTGGTATTTTATATAGTTATATTTGCATCAAATTCTCTTTTTTTTTTTCTTTGGAAATATTAGTAATGTGATAAATGCTAAATTAGAGTGCTGTAATTACTTTGGTAATGAATCAAGTTGGTGAATAGTATGGAGCTACCAAATTAGGTAGACTATAGTGCCAGTTTGAATTTACCCTTTATTGGGTATAATTCTCTAACTTCATTTGAAATGTAAGAAATCTTCATTGGGTGTCACAATGTTACAGTTTAGTTTAAGTATTCAAGTGCAATAAGAGATTTGCATTCTTAATGATTTTGTTCATTTCTATTTGGGATTAAATTATTAATCTTGGATTAGCCATGCAAGAAAAGTCACTGAAGTGACAGTTGAGATAACTGAGTTTAAGGTTTACCTCAGAAACTTACCAGCTGTGTGACATCAGCAAGTCATTTCTCTGGATTGCTTTTTCAGAGCTCTAAGATGATATTATTTTATATTTCTATAACAAGTTTGTTTTTATAGATGGATATTGTTTATGTGTCTTGTGCTATTTTAAAGTATTACCCGAATATATCAGTGATTACCATTTGGTAATAAATGTACTTAAAGTGACTATTTTAGATAATTACAAATACACCTAATATATGAGAAGAAATTTATAAATATAAAGAGAAATGGAGCTATACCATTGTGTGATTAAATCACTAATTGGCATTATACTATATGATGCTAATTGCAATCTGGGTATGAAGAGAGTTTCAGTTGATGGAGTTATACCAGATATTTGAAGATTTAAGTTATTATCAAAATGGTAAATAAACATCCTTAAAAGAATTGAAAACATGAACTTGCAACATTAACATACATACTTGAAAAATTAATTCAAAACTAGATGATACATTTGCTAGTTTGTTACCTAAAAGATGAGTTGGATGAAGAAAAATGTGAAAATGTATGGCAGTGTTTTGCACATTCTGTTTAGAAGTTTGTGGAACTCAAATGAGTAATTTGAGTATTTTCCACTTGATGCTGGTTTCTAATTTGGAACATCTTATTGAAATGCCCTGTAGGCCAGGTGCGGTGATTCACTCCTGTAATCCCAGTACTTTGGGAGGCCAAGGCAGGTGGATTGCTTTAGGTCAGGAGTTCGAGACCAGCCTGGCCAACATGGCAAAACGCCTTCTCCAGTAAAAATGCAAAGATTAGCCAGGCTTGGTGGTGCACACCTGTGATCCCAGCTACTTGCGAGGCTGAGGTATGAGAATTGCTTGACCCTGGGAGGCGGAAGCTACAGTGAGCCAAGACTGCTGCACTGCACTCCAGTCTGAGCGACAGAAGAAGATTCTGTCTAAAAAAAGAAAAAAGCCCTGTAAATATACATTATGCAAATTAGATAATAGAGTACCAAATTAGGGAAAAATAAACTTTTTGTCAAATTTATATTTTATTTATTTATTTATTTTTGAGACAGTCTCGTCCTGTTGTGCAGGCTTGGAATGCAGTGACTCCATCATGGCTCACTGCAGCATACATCTCCTGTGCTCAAGTTATCTTCTCACCACAGCCTCTTGAGTAGCTACAAGCACTCACAACCATGCCTAGCTGATTTTTTCATTTTTATTGTTAGTAGAGATGAGGTCTCTCTGTGTTGCCCAGGCTGGTCTTGAACTTCTAAGCTCAAGCAGTCTTCCCACCTTAGCCTCTCAAAGTGTTGAGATTATGGCCATGAGCCATGGTACCTGGCCTGTCAGTCAAATCTTTTAATTTGTATTATATAGTATCATCATTCATTAGTTTTGATTTACCCACTTATACATTTATTTTATTATAACAAGTTAATTGAGACTTTATGTCATAAGCATTGTGCTAAGTTTAATTGGGTGTAGAAAGATGAATATGCTATGGTCCTTACCAAGTTGGAAATGAATTTTGTAAGGAGACAGAGAGTAAAGCATTAAAGGGCCAGAGTGGCACAGAAGGAAAAGAGATGAATATAGAAATTACTAGCCGTAAGTTTTCAGTTAGAACTTGAATAAGTGTTGTTAAGGGCCTTTCTGCACTGGTGTCCTTAAACTTACATGTATTTGACCTACTTAGGATTCTTGTTAAAAGACAGATTCTAATTCAGTGTGTCGGAGTGAGCCTGAGATTTTGCATTTCTAATATACACTCAGGTGATGCCAGTGATTATGGGTCATGACTGGTATTTTGAGAAGCAAGTCTCAGTATTGTTCTTTGGAAGTAAGAATTATAGATGTAGGATCTGCATTTAAAGGCCTTTCCTAGATATAGTCTTCATTTTTCTTTCTAATTACTTCCATAATATAATTAAAACATACTAATTGGCAATATAAATGTAAACAGATACATATTTTATAAATTTACTTTTTTTGAATGACAATTTAGTTGACTCTTGGCTATTTAGGGACAGATTAAATGGTAAGCAGTTAGCCATGGTATTAAATAACAGTGTACTTAGTATCATGAAGAATTGAAATTACAGTAATGTAAGAAACACTAATATATCTATACTATAATGTAATTCTGTTTAGAATTATTTGGTACCTACTCTAGCTTGGGAGTGTTCCTTGATCTCAGCTGTCAAAGTAATTTTTGGGAGCAGTGCCTGCATTCTCTTCCATTCTCTAAGGAATAGTGGTCTGCATATGGGAATTATAAAATCTACAGAGGCTGTGCTGTGATTGGTGGAGATTTCTAACATATTGGCTGCAAATACTGATGTAGTTACAGTTCTTTTAAACATTTGTATGCATTCTTTCTAATGGTAAATGTATTCTGAAATATATGAAGTGAATTTTAGCTAAATTAGTTTAAAATGTCATTTTATGTGGCATTTTAATTAGTTTTATGTTAACTAGGATTATGGATATGTGAGACCTTTTCCTTCTACTTTTTTTGGCTGCTTAAGAATTATTTCTTTACATAAACATGTATACACATGCATACATGTAGGCAAATAATGTGTGTAGTATGATCCCAGGTTTAGCATTTCAGCTGTATAAGTCATATGTGATAAGTTATGAAAATTTAAATGTAAATCATAATTATGGACAATTATGAAGTATGGAAAAAATCCTTTAAAATAAGTTTGGAGAATTCATTTTTTTCTATCAGATACATGTTTATTTAAAAGTAAAGTACTATAAAGTATATTTAATTTGTTACTTTTTATTTCCTATGTCATAAATGGTAACAAAATGCAGTGGTCCAATATAGTATTAATTAGAAATAACTAATTTTGCAAGTGCCTAACTTAAGCAATAACATTAACAGAGGAAATTTATTTTTATCATTAATTAAACATTAGATATACTGTGGATTTTTGTTTTTTTGTTTTTTGTTGTTTTTTTTTTCCAGAGAACCAGAGGACGAAAACGGAGCTTCGTTCCTGAGGAAGAAAAACATGAGGTTGGAATAAGTTAAGCACTTTTACACAGTCTTAACTTTGAGAAATTTTCTTGCTTAAAATTGTTTCCCTCATATCCTTATTTTGTTTTGTTATGTTTTATTTTATTATCCCTTGTATGGCAGGAAAGAGTTCCTAGAGAGAGAAGACAAAGACAGTCTGTGTTGCAAAAGAAGCCCAAGGCTGAAGATTTAAGAACTGAATGTGCAACTTGCAAGGGAACTGGAGACAATGAAAATCTTGTCAGGTAAGTTGGATGCTAAAACCTTGTCTTTAGGGGATGAAAGTTCCATGTTTATTATTTTCTCATCACAGAAAAAATGAAAAAAACAATTTCAGGATAGGACCTTTCTCAAAATATTATGTAGTGGAAACAATACTTCAGAAACAGATTTCGTCCACTTCTTAACCTCTCACACATGGTTATGCTCTGGATTTAGATGTAAATAAAGAGTAATAATTTGCATTTTTAACACAGGGAATTATTTTTCTCTTGACAAGAGAAGTTGACAATGCTCTCTATATAGAGGCTATAAAAGTAATTTGATCTAAACACTGTGTACTAAGATTATGTTTTATGTCATAAAATAATAAAGTTACTAAGCTCTGTTAGCATATTTTAAATGTTTGAAATTTAGAAGCAATGGTGAGAAGACAGACTTTTTATTGACAAGAACTTAATTAGCATTTTCTTATTGCTTATCAAAACAAATGTGTTAAATGCTTCTCCCTTACGAAATAAAGAAAGGTGAAAAGATGGCCTAGGTTGATTTTATTTTTTGTTTTGTCTTTGTTTCTTTGTTTCGTTTTGGTACTTTTTTTTTTTTTTTTAATCAGACATAATGCTAATCAGAAATCTTAGCTGATGCTGCACATTGGCTTTTCCCAATGGTCCAGAGGCTGCTAATTTTAGCAGAAATGAAGAAATTGATCAAAGCTCTGGGTGAGATGGCAGAGTGAATGGGTGGACAAAAAGAGAGCTAATTTAAAAGAGGCATCAGACTTTCAAAAAACAGTGTTACAAAGGTTCTTACAGTTCTTATAGGGACTTTGTAAGGGAATCCATTCTGATTTCTTTAAAAACATTGTCTTCTGGTAAAGCCCTGTCAAATTAAATGAGGACACAGAAATTAAACATTTCAAAAAGAATAAACATATTTATAAAACAAATATATTAGTGTTGTTGTATGTTTTTAAATATTTACTTCCAAATGATTTAATCTATTTTGGTCATTAAAAATATGATTTGTCTTAATTTCTCAAAGAAAGGCATGAGGTCTTAATTTTATGAGTTTTTTATACTATCAATGAGAAAGATAAAGAGAAAGTAAAAATTACAGTAGAAAAAGAGAAAGCTCTTCGACAAAGTTAAGAAAGTTTATAATAATTGGCTAATTTTTTTGAGATAGTCCATATAGAATGTCTTGGGAGCTATCCTGAAGGTTAAGTTTATTAAAATTTAGGGTAAAGTAGTAAGTAGTTCGAAGTTCAGGAGATACACATGAATAATTCTGACCACAGTATAACTTTTGCAGTATGTCAAAAATGAAATCCCAAGCGTAAGCATAACATAATGGAGTAAATGAAACAACAAAAATAGAGAAAAATACATATATAATATATATTATATAATGAACAAAAATTTAATTCAGGAAAATTCCCTTGGGGTTGAGGATGGAGTTGAGGACTATGATTAATTTGAAACAGTAGTTAAAAACTTACAGAGGTGGTGATCCTTCTATTAATTATTTGAACCTGTATGAGTCTCTACTGTCTTACTAATTTTTTTTTTAAATATGAGATTGATTGAGGCCTTTTTGCTGTAGGACTTAGAGGTTTTTATCAGATTTTTTGTTTTGCTTTTGTCATATGTTAGAAATTAGGAAACTGAGAAATACAATTTTTATTTTAAAAGTCAGTTTATGATAGATTTCCAACCCGTCGTATTTTAGTTGTTTAATAAAAAAAAGTGCCATCTTTCTTCTAATTTTGATAAGATTTTTGAATAGTATTACTCTATATTATTTATTTAGTTTCTGTTGTAAAATTTTTATTTCTAATTGCATTATTACAATATGCCAATGTCTGGAATTTTGTGAAAGTCTTCTGGAAGGTAAAGATATTTGTATTACTCTGAAATAATGGATATACAAAGTCCCCTTCCTTGGTTTTGCCTTATTAAGAAGATAATATCGTAAATTGTCTGCAAAGTTTTAAAGAGGTAATGTAGAGGAAATTAAATGTTTTATTGATACTGTATTTTAATATTTCTTAGGACAAGATAAGCTGGATATAAAGCAATGCCATAAAATATTTTTGGTTATAATGTGATCTTTAAAAAAAAGTACACTGTTTATGCACTATTCTTCTTGGGTTGAAGAATTTTATTTTATATAAAATTCCATATGTTTAATAAAAGTAATCTCATAAGCTAATATCTGCCATTTTCCCTGGCATCTCATATTTTGGAACTGGCACTGTTATTGTTTGAAAATCACCCCCCAAAAGTCTACACTTTTTTATTCTATTGCATCTTAAATACTGTCTATACATGCTATTTTTTTAACTTTCAAATAAGATATTTTAAATAAGGATTTCTTTTCTCTAAAGATATATTTCAGCGCTTACTCAGAGTTATGTGTATGTCTGTTAGGTTCTCTTTTAAAATTAAACTTCATGGGTCACAATTAGTTTTTTATTTAATATACTGTGTTTACTTTCTCAAGTTCTTTTAAACTAATGTTTATATCTCACTAGCACCTGCTCTTCAGCAGTTTTGATTTTTTAAACCACACTTCTCTATGTAATTCAGGCTATATAGAAAATTCTTTCTAATTGTCCTTGCTTTTTTAGTTATTTGTATATGTTTACTTGTGAATTTACATGTATAATTTTTTATATCATTGAACAATTGCATGCAATTTGTCAGTAAACTGTAATTAGTAGGTTTCAACTGTTATTTTCTGCTTTGCCTGTTTATCTTGGGACTTTGGCGAGTAATTTAGCATTTCTGTGCCTTCGTTTCCCCCCTGTTGTAAATGGTCACAATCATACTGTGCTTCATTAGGTACCTTATGAATAATTGCTGAGTGATAGTAAGGTTCTTTCCATATAAAATATTAGAACAGTAGTAGTATTTAGTAACACAAGGAATACATGTATGTGTGCATTGAAATAAAGGTCACAATTGGTAAATATGTTTCCAGTTATAATAAATACTTGTTATGTCAGAAAATGTACATGTCCTGTTTTTGTATGTAATTTTGTCTAGAGTCTAGGAGACAAAAAGAAATTTGTCATTACATGTTTTCTAAAATGATTAGATTGAAGTTTTACAGCATCTTAGGGAATTTTATTTTTTTAAGTGCAAGTTTTTTGCCATCTACTTTTAAAATTTAATTAGAAATTATCTGAGAAGTTTTCATCAAAATATGTATTTCTTTATGTTATTTAATGCAATCTAAATGCTAAAGGTCAAATTGAAAAACTATATCATGGAATTGTGAGGTCTTAAAGGCTTTGTCTGTGATAGGCTTTGTCTGTGATAGGTCATTCTTTGTTGGAAGTAGTTATGGAACTACTTAGTGATACCTTATTTGTTTTTGTTTCCACAGTTCATGGCACATTTAGTACTCAGAAAATGCTTGATAAATGAACTCTGCATAAGTAATGACTGAGTATTCTTTTGCTGAATTAAACTGTCACTATTATAATTTAATTCTAGAGCAAATTGAGTCACAAAATATAATGTTTGATGAAGATATTTAAAGGGCTTAATAAAGGACAATTGATTTTTTGTCACAAAAATGTAGTGGATAGTTGATAGTTTTTCCTCCCCTGTATTTTAAGTAAGGAAATAGATTTGAGAATAATTGATGAATCTATGAAAAGTAGAAATGAAGTGATTCCTTTCCTTGAACGTATGTGAAAGGGAAGTGGGCCTGTCTTCTCTTTCAGTCTTTTATCAAACTATAAAATTAGAAATAACACCAAACTTCTAAACCTCAAATTTTATCTTAACTATATAAACTCAATGTGGCACATTTTATTACTTAATCAGAGATAGGAGAGAGAGAAGAAAGGTTTCCTAAAGCTAGGAACCCTGGAATCCGTGAGCCGTCTTAAATAGCATCTTTAATTTTATTTTGCATTGTGGCTATTTTTCAGAAGCATTGAGGGTAGGAAATGATCTATTAAGCTATTTCACTTTTATAGCTAATTCTACACTATTAATGCTTGCCAGATTCTCCCCTTTATTTGAGTATATGGCAAATTATATAGCTATTGAACCATTTTGATTACAAGGTTAGGGTGTCAATTTGATCTCTACACATTGTTGTTAGCACTTTTATTTATTTTACATTTAAAAATCTGGCTTGTCAGTGCATCCTCCCCAACTAAATTTGTTTGTATCGTAAGTTATTAGGAACACTAGCAAGAATTCATATATATTACATTTTGATTTCAAATAGTAGTCTCTCATCATTCTAATTACAACTTTTTTTTTTTTTTAGTTTTTGTTGTCACCCAGACTAGAGTGCAGTGGCACTTTTTTGACACAGTATAGCCTCTGCCTCCTGAGTTCAAGCAATCCTCTCACCTTTCAGCCTCCCGAGTAGATGAGACTTGATTTTTAGTTTTTAATTAACTTTTCTGTTCTAACTAGTATGGAGGCTTATAGACTTCCTGGGTCGTAATTGAAGGGGTTTTTCCCTGTGAGATTTGATTAGACTGAGAATAAACCTAAAACTGCTTTTAAGTTTAGTTACTATTTTTCATAAAACGTTAGGTCACTAAAAATGGATTATTTTAAATTTAACAAAGTGAAACCAGTCTTGTCCCTCTTAAGATTAGTTAGGATTGCATTTGATCAATCTTTCTTTCTTTCTCTCTTTCTCTCTTTCTCTCTTTCTCTCTTTCTCTCTTTCTCTCCCTCTTTCTCTCTTTCTCTCTTTCTCTCTTTCTCTCTTTCTCTCTTTCTCTCTTTCTCTCTCTCTCTCTCTCTCTTTCTCTCTTTCTTTCTTTCCTTTCTTTTCTTTCTTTCGGCAGACAGAGCCTTGCTTTGTCGTCCAGGCTGGAGTGCAATGGTGCAATCCTTGCTCTCTGCAACCTCCACCTCCCAAGTTCAAGCGATTCTCCTGCCTTAGCCTCCCGAGTAGCTGGGATTACAGGCATGCGCCACTACACCTGGCTAATTTTTTGTATTTTTAATAGAGACAGTGTTTCACCATGTTGGCCAGGCTGGTC